ACCTACATATTTTGACGACAATTTACAAGAAAAGAAATAGCTTGCATATAAGATACACTTTCATATGAGTGTGATAGATGTTTAATATATTTTACAATTTAATAATCTAAATAATACTATACCTTGAAATAGAAGAGATGTTAAGGGATAAATTATTCTCATACTTTTTTAATTTAAGGATATTTATATGACATATGAATAATTTCTAGAATGGATATTTTAAAGGAGCAAACATCGTCATATATCTGAGCTCATACGGTTATTATACTGCGCAAATTTATTATCAGTTTTCTTTTTAAATATATACTAGCATTTTGCCTCTCATGTAGAATGCTAACATAAGAGCTAGATAAAAATTCCGTAACAGATTTACATAACGCACGCATAGCATTAAATATACTTTTTTATTAATAACACTAATGCCATAAATGTTAAAAAAATTGGATTTCCAAAAGCATCAAAACATTCAAAAATTGTGAATTATTTTTAATCCCTCAAATGCAGTGTTATGATCCAGAAGATATGTGCAAAATTCTTATGTGTATTGGGAATAGACGCTTGTTTTGCCAATACATGCTTTGCTTCAAAATGCTTGTGTTTGCATGGCAAAGAAAACTATCTCTTTTAGTTATTCATAAAGTATCAAATAGAACTTGGATCTTCTATGGATAACGTATGTGGAATGCTCAGTTTCTGCTTTCTCTCACACGAAATCCATATGTCTTCTGTGAGGTAACCGTTTATTTTCGACATCTCCATATTGCAGATATGGGAATGTGGTTTCTCTCATAGGTCCTGAAAATGCGCCACTTTGATATGGTTAATGTTTGTATCTGAGTCCATCTACTATTAATATGAGCAAATATCAATTCTGTATTTCCTTCATCTCTTTTATATACGCAAGCAATAATATTTAAGTTACGCATTCACCTCAGTGTTCAAATGCTGGCATTTCAGATGTGCAGCAGAGGGCGCTCAGAATTATTTCAAAGCTGATAAGTTAATTTCATGAATTTTTATCCTTCGCTGAGCAAACTAGTAAAACGCATCCGTGTGCGAAATATTTAAGTTCCGGTACATTTCACATGATAGATGTTTTATGTTACTGAAATCTAATGCGCATTTCAGACGTCAGACTGAACGTCATAAAAATTTTATATCCATTGAATTTTGCTATTGTTTTTATATCGACCGGTGTTACACACGCCGAAAATAAAATACAAGATAAAAAATTAAGCTTTTCCCAAGACGCGTTGAACAATATCTTTCAATTACGTAGAATACTATAAAATTGATTTCCTTGCGAGTGTAAAAAAGGATGATTTAAAAAGAAATTATACTTTTCCAATAGCAATTTTTTCACATTAAGTATAACGAACGTAAACATATACATAGCCTTTAAGAAAGTTTATAACATTAGTGCAGTTAATAAAAGGTATGTTTATGTTATGAATTGCAGTTGCAGTAGAATTTTTCTGTCTCTGATACAGTTATCAAAAATAAAACTGGATGATAAAATATTTGCATTATATTTTATAATAAAACTTCTGCAATAAAAATGAAACCAAATATCAAATGAAATATAATTCAAATACCTATCTTTTCGTCTCTGGAATCTTTCGTTCTATCTCACAAGGGATAAGTGTTTATATATGACATTTCAAATTTTTCTATCATTATTAGTTAGATAATGATGAAGGGTTTCCCTTAGTTAACCAATTATTCAAATTTTTGTTATCGTTTCTGAACTCTCAAATTCCACTCGCATTACTTCGCCAAGATTCAAATTTAAAATTAAGTAAAGTGAGTATTTAAACGATAAATCTTGGAGTTTATTCAGAGTTTGCTTTCGCTAGCCAGCACACGTTACTTGTCTGTCCTTGCTATTACGCGGAGCTGCTGATAAGCCATTTTGCCAAATAATTATCACACCGGATAAGTTGTTGACTCAACCTAGTTAGCCTTAACTTAAAGTGTTAGTCCAGCACTACTCTTTAGCTTTGAATTTATTATGTAACGATTCTGAAGTTCCACCGCAAGTTGTCGGTGTTATTGTAAGCACGAAGTACCTGCCTTTTCTGTTCATATTTTGAACAATAATAAAGGGTTATTTTTACTCTGTGCTGGTATTTTTTACGCCTGTGCGAGAAGTCGCCAGATTCCTTAGTAGGGTCTAATAGAGTTTATGTTACTAAAGAGAACACGATCCTACTCTACGAATTTTATTTTATAAGGAAAACTGTTTTATAAATTTCCCTTGTAAATAGTAATATATATATAGAACATACGTTTTGCTGTTTAACTTACTTTTTGCTTTGACTAAGCTATTTTTCTCACTCGTATTTCTGAATTTAAACTACATCTAAGATAAATTTCACCCTGTGATTTTCCATTTTCATTTTAGTAATTCAATCCGTTAACTTAAATCCAAACATTTTAGTAAATATGAAAGTTTTATGATTAATTTTGTAATTATGAATGCAAATTGCTTCCTTTATGAAATTTAAATGAAAGTGAAAAGTTGGGAAGTAAATTCGAAATTTATTTTACGCAGAATGTATTCAAATGGAATGACTAAAGTGTAAAAAAATGAGACATTACCCTTTTGATGTCTGTCCATGGATCATTCGAAAATGTATTATAACAAGAGATGCTCCACCCCAGTAAACTGGAATAAATGAATTGGGCTGCATTATTTTTTAAAAAGTCTGATGTGGATACCACATACCACATGACTTCTTTGTACGGCCCATTAAATTACACACATCTTTTGTTGCATTTCATTTAAACACATTTCCTCGAATTAACCTATCTTTAATTAATTTCCTTAATTAACCTATCCTTCACGGCAGATTGAAAATGAGGTAAAAACTGCAAATTTTTAAAATTAATCCCGGTCAATTTTTGTTTTACGGGAGTCAAATTTCGTACAATAAATAATTCGTAATAATTTTTCATAAAGAGTACAAAACTATCCCAGATATACGTTTAGTAGCCAGGAGACGGCATTAAAAGTTAGATTTCGTTATTTGTCCAAAATGATTTTTTTTTTTTTAAATTTGATATTACCAAAACATGAATACTTTCGTCATTTAAAATACTTTTGTAATTGGAAGCATATGACTACGGCCAACGACTACGAAAACAAAAGCTGCATAATTGGGTAGATATATATATATATGTTTGGTAATTCCGATTCCAATTAAAAGGAAAAAAATCGTCCAGATGGACTGGAGAACGCTCAAAATGGATATTTCGGATGAAATATGATTTCTGAATTTTTTTGCGATTTCGATACTTCTTTTATTTCGCAAAAGGAATTAAACAGAGTTTGATCTGTTGCAAATCTCATCTCTCTTCCAATATAACATTTTTTCTAGATCTAAAAATAAATGAATTTTTCTCCAGAATCTAAGAAATTAAATTAATAATAACTTTATAATACAAAGTTCTGGACTTGGTTTGCTTCCTTTATCTTGTAAAATTTGTAACCGTCACCAAAATGATGAAAGTAAAAATGTACAAACTAAAGAAAAGAAAAATTATACACTGAATGTACGCATTACTTCTTCAAGAGTAACTAATGAACACAAAAAATACTGCTTTGAGTTAAACAATGAGAAAGAAAAATACAAATTTACTAAATTAACCTCAGAATATCTAATTTCGAAAGGAATACGAATAGAAATTCTCCATACTTTTCATTTTCTGTATGTAACTTAAAATTTGCAAAATAGTTCGCTTCGGGCGATACATTTTCAATCCTCTTATTGGGAAAAGTATTAAAAGTGATTTGTTCTTTCAAAACATTTAGATGCTTTACTATAGTAGGAATATTTATAGAAAACCATTTAAAATTTGCATTTAGTATGCTAGGTAGAAATTAAGGTTTGAAATTATGTAAACACGAGATGTCTTAGAAATTTTAATTTAAAATTATTTAATGACACAGTTTTCACGTCTCTTTCCCTGACATAAATAATATAAATGTTTCAGCTTTAATGTTACAATCATATTGAGATTAATATGTATTTGTTTTGTGTGGTTTTAGATTAAAAATGAATTCGAATTCTTCGGTATCTGTTGCATAATATTTATGATACTGCCTCGCCAACTAAAATTTCGTTAAAAATAATATGCTCAAGACTTGTTTAGACTGTTTTATTATTTTGCTTAATCAAGGAGATTATTAAGAAGTCAAATGAACACTTTTGTAAGGGACAAAAAGTAAAGTTCTGAGGCTAAACAGCGTCTAACGTTTCTAAGAGCGAAACTATTTTCAAAAGATCGTTTTCAGGTTAGGTAGTAAATATCTATACATAGGTGTTTATTTTAATTAAATGGTTAAGATTTCGTGCTATTTCTTCCTTTTCCTCAAGGTTAAAATTATTAATTTCACAAGTAAACCTATTATATAAATATAAAATTTGAGATTCAGGGCACGATGAAGCGATTCAACAGTTAGAGTAGCTTACGATAATGAAGAATAATGTTATGCAACTGTTGAGAACCTTACAACTAGGTAACGGTTTAAATTATTCTTAGTTTGAGTAAAAATAAATATACGTTTTTACATCCTTGTTCCTACAGATATAGAGAAGTCTACTCTACATTAAATAAATATAGTGTTCCGGAACAATCTTTCGTAAACCAAAATGAAGTAAGGCAAAACAGCAATTACTATTAATTTGCAAGCTGCACACGGGTAGAACAATGGAAACATAAATTCAGCCAGCCCGTTCATCGCAGCTCCAATCCGGATCGAATGACCAATATTGAATGATCTTAACTTCTCGACTATTGACGTCTAAGAATCAAACTGATTTAAAGATGCCTTAATATTTAACAAAATATAAAACTGAATGGAAGAAAGTTAATGTAGCAGTTCTAAAAATACTTTGGAAATGTTCAAACTTAATTTCATTTTTAATAAATTGTCACTTTCATTTTTACTATTCTATTTTTCTTTACTATTTTTATTAAATTAAAGAATTACTTACGATTCACACACTGTGGACATCTTGACATTTCCTCTGTCTATTTTGTTTTTGAGGGACCTTATCTGAAAAGAAATATAAATTTTATTTCGCTGCAGTTAACTTAAAAAAACGAATATGCTAATTTTGAAGATTATTGAGGAGTGGATATATTAGTTTATTTCATTGATAAAGGATATTTCCTATTTTATTACCAACAGTCTGGAAGAAGGAAATTTGTAATCTGGTACTTCAAATTTCGGCTTAAAATGTTACAAGACAGTTAAATTTATATCTTTGTGTCATAAAATTTTCTATAGAAAGATATATAATTTTCTCGTACATATACCGGGTGTTTATTTTAAAAGTAGACATTAAACATTAAGGTGCTGCTTACAGTCTTTCCCATATTTTGTTTGCAGAGATTCTGCTATTATTCCGATATGCTGATGAACTAGTTTCGTGGGGAAGAGCAAGAATTCTTCGAAAGCAGAGAAAGTTTTGATGAGTTTTCTGCTAGCAGCATGTGTTGAACACTATCATTTTGTAAGCGTAGCTAAGTCTTATTTTGTAAAAACTGCATCAGACATACAAATATCAAGACAATAAAAGGATTTCCCGCTAGAAATATAGAAAACTTTTCCAGAAATATGCGAAGCATAATCAAAGACTTCCTCTGATTGTTTGACCTACTGGAAAAAGTCCACTGAACACAAAATTTTCCCCAAAGATGAGTGTAAAGACCTGCCATTCTAACCAATTCTGTATCCGGAGGTTTGATAAAGTTACAAGAATTTCATTTAGGGAAACATTTCCATTTTATATAGGTGGCTTTTGCAGATGAAGTATGATTTAATCGAAATGGATATATTTCTGGAAAAGGTGTTCGGAAAAACCTGTATCTTTTTTCAAGGTTTTTCAAGGTCTTGCAAAAACTGTGCCATGTCAAGGCAATGAATCACCATGGTCTTTAAACAATCATAGATACTGATATCTGCCATTGCTTAGCGGCTAGTTCAGCCTTATTGATGAAAAATAATTTTATGTAAGAAAACATGTAAAATATACTGTGCCATTGCTGACACTTGAAACACGGATCTTCCAGCTTGTTACGTGAACGTGTTAACCATCTATCGCAAAAGCATGTACAAAGAAATGAGACGAATTCTTACGGTTTAAATAAAAACATATTCATTCACAATATACAAACCTCGAAAAAATAGAAAATAACGTCACTACTCTCATTCAAAATATATATAAGTAAAAGGGCTCGAATGTCACTAAAAACAAGATGAAATGTGAAAATATTTAGCAGTGACATTGAAACATGGTAAAATATGAGTTTAATTAGAGGAACTCTGTTTAAAACGTATGCTGTAGTATTTGCTACTTATCTGGTACTCTACAACGGTTGTCACCAAAATGTGGTACGCCTGTTACAGAAGGTACATGAAGTTATGGGCCATAATATCCTGTTATGTATTAATTGTTATTATTTTCAAGCTTAAGTTTTGCTTACTAATTTTGTTTTGTTCAGTAATTGAAGTTCTTATTTTTATTTATTTATTTATTTATTTACTTGTTAAAAGTTGGTTGTAAGTTTAAACTATGACTTCGTAAACTTTAAAATTTAGGTTTGGTTGCTTTAAAAGTTTTCTTAAGTTGAAGTTGTTTAGTTTTTAATTTGAGTTTAGGGACCTAAGTTTCCTTGGTTTTTGCACTTTTTGTTTTTGACTCTTAAGGTTGTTTAACTTTAATTATTTTTTTAAATTTTGTTTGCTGCACTTTTAGTGTGTTAATTTTTTTAACTTAAGGTAACTTAAATTTTACTCCTCTTTCTATTAAAGTTGTCGAATACATATTTTCTGATTGGTGGTAGGAGGGGAAACTCATTCTGGTTAATGAGTGTGTATACTTAAAATGCTGCTGAAGAAACAATTTATATAGTGGTGACATTTTTAATGAGTTATATTGTTATGTAATAGTTTAATTTTTAATGTCCCAAAATCGTTTGCGTTGATTAACTATTCACTGGTTTTGAAAATTTTTATCATCCCAACCGTCGGCTTGGAATTCTTCCTCAGAATCCCTTATCAGAGGATCACTGCACCCCGAAATTCTTTCGCCCAAGCGAAAAAACACACGTAGGATGACCTGTTTGATGTTTACACCATCTAGAGTTTTACTTAAACAGGACCCCGGTTGCTGTGACATCTCTAGCAGGGAAAGGTTCTACAGCGAATTTGTGAGGAGGGGGATCGTTGGATAGGAAGCTCTACATGTTCAAGTTGCGCCTCGATTCGTGGCTAGTGCGCCCCTTGTTTTCGTCTGCGGAGAGTTGTTGACCCATCGGAGTGGCTTTGGAGGCCGAATGTTTGAACTGCTTGCTGGCTCTTCTGGTAGTCGGGAAACCCCTTCCCGTGAAGATTTACCTCCATGAGATTTCTCTGTTTGGGTTGCTGGATTTGGCTTCCTACTGATCCCCTTCTTCGCCAAATTTTTAAAAAAGCGCGCAGTTATTAAAGTGGCTGCGCAATGTTTTTCGGAGGAGAGAGACGGAGAAAAGAAATTTCATGAGACCTTCGAAGCCAAGAAGAATAAAAGAAGTCAACTTTACCGTTCAGCCTGGAGGGCAAATGCATCGTAGACGCAGCAACGTGTAAAATAACCTGCACCGAAGAAAGGCGTACTACATCTATAATTCTTGCCAAATTACGCTTTCGATGATGGCCTGTGGAGGGAAGACCTGTGTTCTACCGGTTGGAAGCTGCAATAGGAGCGAAGCCTGGCCTCCGAATCAATAGCCTTTGATTAATTTTATTCACTTAACTTTTCTTCTTCTTACAGATATTTTTCCAAGATTTCCCGGAGTCCTAATTTTCCACCGTCATTGTTTCGCCTGTATCAAATACTCCAAAAATTATTTGATGGAATCCATCCGTGAACAGTATACTGTTATATGTTGTTAAAGAAGGTATGTTTAACTTTTTTCGTTGTTTCTTCAGATGTTTAGATGATCGGTCACCACCATTGTAAACTGTAACTTGTATTCTTACTCTTTATCACCATAAATAAACGTTATTTTGATTTTACTTACCTAGCTTTGTAATTATTTTAATTAAATAATTTTACACTGGACCTTAGTCTTAGAATGGGTTTAATTAATCACAACGCAATCCCTTTTGTAAATTAAAAATTGTTTTATTGTATGTTCAATTCGAATCGTTACTCGAATTATTATTTCATGTGATTGATACAGTATTGGTTGAAAAGATTTTGTTATGTTGCGCATATACACACATTACCTACTACAATAGAGGTATTAACATGATTATTCCATTACACTGAAATTGATATTAAGTGGTAACTTTTGTAAGATCTTAGAATATGTTGTTCTTAATTGTTCAATAGCTTAATACAATAACCCAACATCCCATATGCTGTAGGGTAGGAGTACGCAACCTTTTGTAGTAGGAGGCATATTTCAGAAATGCGGGAGCTTGCGAGCACCATAGTGATTGTTCAGCGGGCGCCGTAGTAGTGACGAAATATCTCTCCACGTTACATTTCCAGCAATCGCTACAGTTGAACTGCACAATAAGTAAGCACGTTTTATTCATAATAATGGAAATAAAATTGTCCTTTCCACTCAACATTGAAATGACGTGTCTTCTGCATCTTATTTTTTTCTTCATGGCGGTACTCTGCGTTTATCTCAGAAATAAATTAAGTATATGGCAAAGCGTAACACGTCAGAAGATTTTGCAGTCAAGAATGGATTCATCTAGTCGTGCAATGCTATACAGATGCTACTATTATTCAGTTTTTATCGAAGATTTAATTGCCCATTTCATAAAACTGCTAAAATATCGAAGATAAAATAAGAAATTTTCCTAACAATATTAATTAAAATTAAGAATGTTTGCTGTGCAACTATCTAGAATTTGGATACTTGACCTGTGGGCATTTTAAAATTGCTTCGCGGCACCAATTTGCCGATCTCTGTTGTAGGGTATGCTTTATCAATACATGTATATTCTTGAAGAATCAACGTTTAAATTGGACGTTGAACATTCTAAATATTAACTTGAAAAAAATAAAAATAATAAAATTTTTATTTTATAACAAGAAACATCTTCACATACTTAAGCAATTTAGGGATAATTTCGGAGATTCCGAATCCTAACAGCCGATATTCATTGAAATCAAAGGGAAATCATACAAGTTTTTACTTTGTCATTTTATAGAAAAGTATACTTACTCTGGTCAAAGCCCATTTAAAGAAGAGCAGGAACAGGTAAAGCATGCATGCCTTCGTGGTGTAACTGGAAGCTCACTCGACGCGTATTCGAGAGGTTTAGATCTCTAGCCCCGGCGAGGGCATTCTTCACGTATCCTGCTTCAACAAAACCTAATGATTCTACAAGCCTAAGATACTTTTATAGGTAAAAAGCCGAATAAAGTATGTCTCTATAGACCAGAATAATTTTAGCAATATGCTATGTTTCAGTAAACGGATACGAAACATAGATTCGTATTCGGAGTTCTGCGAAAAAGATCATTAAAGAAAGTGCTTTTCGTAGACTTTTAATTTAAATATATTAATTTGAACGCCTTCAAAATTACTCGAAATAACATTAATTAAAATATTGGCCCTATGATAAAAGACAACACAAAGAGAAAAATGTAAAAAATGTAGAAAAAGCTAACATAATATATAAATAGCATAAATGTTAAACTCGTAGTAACAAAATGGAATCAGTGTGATTCATCATGTAATACAAATATTGTAATAGAAATTTTATTGAATACACAGCCTTCGAATTACTAAGAATATTATTCCGGTTAAGATTTTTAAAGCAGATTTCCAAAGGATGCTCTTTACATCAGAAAAATATTAATTTAAAAATATAAGTTTTAGATTACCATTGTAGAAACGATGAAATTCAGTATTTCGAATATAGAATGATATAATTTTACATTTAATGACAATTTACTTTGTACGACTTTCAGCTAAATATTTTTTGATTAAGGGAAAGTTCTCAAATCATGTAATTTTTATTCATTAGAGACTTCCCTTAGAGAC